AATTGAATATATCATTACATAACAATGTTAATAAAAGCAAAACATTGTAGACAGTGTAAAACTTCAAAAGCCAGTAATAATCAAACCAGAGCGGATATCCTAGTGAATCTTGTCATCCTCAGTGTAGTTGCCTATACTCTCAGATGTGATGCTATCAATCATAACAGATTTGAATAAAATCTGTCAATGCAAAACAGCAATCCAACAAACCAGATTCAACTAAAATCAGTCATGATAAAACAGTGTAAGTTATACAGGGCTTCAGATTAAGTTAATAGGAAATTAAGAGTGATTACTATACTATATCCTGCTATTTTCAGGACAGCTGTCTGTGCCCTCAAATCTAGTACAAGTAGACAAACTGGAGCAGAATATAATCCATCTAAACAGAGCAGAGTGAGTAACATGGGTTTTAAATCCTGATACACTATTAACAATATCCTCTGCCTTCCTTTTTAGACAATTCTTCCTCTTTCACTCCCACAGGGTGCACTGCTCATTTTGGGTCCCAGCAACTCTCTCAGTTTTTATATTGGCGGGGGGCAACCTACTATTTACCTAAGTGGGTCTGAACCTTCTCACTCCTGGACTTGATCTCAAGTTGTATTCCTTTACCAAGGTTTTCCTTCATTACAGTTAAGTAGCTCTCTACTGCACATAAGTATCCTGTCTTTCCAATCTATCCGCAGGTGCTGGTCAAGTTGCCCCTATTTTTCTCTGGTTCCCTGTCACATAGAGCATTGCTTTTCTCATATTTGATTTTTGGTCCATAAAACCCTTTATTTATATTTCCTATACAGAGCGTCTTGGTGGACCCTACCTCCTGATCTACTCTGCCTGTTTTTTTTTTTTTTTTTTTTTTTTTAGTGTATCAAGGCCATCTATGTTAGAGATTATAGCCAACATTCTATGCCTCATTTCTGCTACGCTATTATTCTGCCATTGGTTGTCTACTTTTCTTCTTCAATCCACTGTCTGCCCCATTCATTGAGGCCTCTCTGACACTGTTCTTGATATCCTGGGGTTTTTATCTCTCTATATATAATGTCCTTCAGTATTCTCTGTTTGGTTGGATTGATGGTTGCGAATTCCCCCAGTTCCTCTTTGTCATGGAAGCATTTTGTTTCTCCATTAATTTCTAGAGACAGTTTTTCAGGGTACATCAATCTGGGCTGGGGGTTATTTTCTTTCAGAGTTTGGAATACTTTGCTCCAAGCTCTTCTTGATTTAATGGTCTGTATCAAGAAGTCTGCCATGATTTTGATGGGTTTTCCTTTATAGGAGATCTGTTTCTTTTCTCTGATGACTTTTAATATTATATTCTTATACAGAATTTCTGTGATCTTGATTATTATATGTCTGGGTGTAGGTCTGTTTTGGGTGTAGGTGGCTGGAGTTCTACATGCCTCATACATCTGAATATCATTTCCTTTTCCTATGCTGGGGAAGTTTCCCTTAATTATTTCTGTGAATAGCCTTTGTATTTCCTTTGTTTTTATCCCTGCTTCTTCATTCATATTTTTTATTCTTTTTTTTATCTAGATTTTCAGCTGGATTATTCTTAAGTCATAGATTCTGCTATCACCTTTGTGTTGTTACTTCCTTTTTCCTTGTTATTTTTAAGAGATCTTTCCTTTCATGATCACAAATTGCAAACTGGTCTTCAAGTTTTGATAGTCTATCCTTAGTTTTTTTCAAGCAGTTTTGCCAGATTTCAATGGAGTTTTTAATTTCCTGGTAATCTCTTTGAACCTGCTTCATGTATTCTAGGTTTTCTCTATATTCTTCATCAAAAGTTTCTCTCCTTTTTTTGTGTTCCTCCATTTTTCCATCTGTGTCTTCTTGAGAGGTGCTTAGCATTTCTTTTTTTAATCTACTTATATCTTGCTTTATTTGAATTAATATTTCACTTTTGAGCTCATCAATGAGGTCCTAAAGATATCTCTTTATGTTCACTGATGCTGTGTCTGATATTGCATGTTTGCTGCCCTCAGTCTCTTTTGTATTTACCTCTCCTGGATCAATGTTCTCAGGGCTGGGGAATGCGACTTTTTCTTATTTCTTTCTCTTGTCATGTTTTTGGTTTCTTCCATACAGGTGTATAGTAGAGGTCCCAGCCCCTTTCCTTGTTGGTTATGGTTCTTCTGAAGCATGCTGGCTAGGGATTTCTGCCCTCTTCAGTTTGCTGTTGGTCATTGAGGTGCAAGCAGGGGCAGCATATGCTGGCCCCTCCCCTCCAGACCAGTCAACCTGCAGGGGCCTTCTCCATGTTGGTGTGTGTCATGCATATGGAATTGGTTTGGGACGACTTATTGGGTTGTGGCTGGGGGCATGACCCAGGCCAAGCAGATCCCACCCATCTGCTCTGCGTAGGGGGCAATTGACTGAGGATATTGCCATTCTTTGTTCCTGCCCGTCTTGCCAGATTCCAACATGTCATCCAGTTGGTTGCCCCTTTCCTGTGAGAGGGTCATATTCCCTGCACTCACTGTGGATTAACACAGGTCTCCACACTGGCTCTGTTCTCCATTGGACTTGCCAGCCTCCAACTTCAGTGCAATCACAACTCTGGCAAGTCACAGTGGCGCAAGTTTGGGTGGCTCCAGAAAATCAGGGCAGTGCGGATTCCAGCAGCTCTGGCAAGTTGAGGTGGTGTGAGTTCAGTCCATTCCAGCAGAGTGCCATGGCCACTAATCTTAGCTGCTCCAATGGTAGCCCTGGGACTGTATGTTTGACCAGCTCTTTTCCCTTTAGTTTCTTCCTGGGTCGAGAGGGTCCATCTCCCTCTGTCTTGACCTCTCCAAGATATTTTATTCTGGAATCTGAGCTGTCACTCTCAGAAAGCCTCTATACGCTGCTGCTTACTGATCCACCATCTTTGTGAGACTCCCTCCAGATTGAGCTTCTTAAAGTCATATTAGATACTTTTCCTTCCTCAATCATGGTAAGCTTACCTCCACACTGCCTTTTTTTAGTGCATTTTAATTATACACAGTAATGCATCTCATTCTGGCATCTTCATACACACATATAACATATTTTGATCATATCTATCCCTCGCTTTTGCAGTCTCCTTTCTAGTTTCAAGTTGCCTCTTTCCCTGATAGATTCCTATGCACATAGTGGGGAAAACACTGTCTTTTCAGTCTTCTCCTATATGCAAGGGCCATTCCACAAGAGTTGAGAAGGCTCACAAAGGAAGAAGCTATAAAAGACCAATTTCTGAGCTGGACATGGTGGTGCATTCCTGTAATCCCAGCACTTGGGAGGCTGGGGAAGGAGGATCGCTGCAAGTTCAAGACCAATTTGGCTACAAAGTGAGCCCAAGGCCAGCCTGACTGCACAGTGAGATCCTGTCTCAAAAACACACACAAAAAAGGCCAGTTTCCCCTGATGGCTCAGCATTTCTTGGTGCTTTGCAGCCGAAAAGGCCACACTAGGTGCTAAATAAAGCCAAGCAAGTGGCTTGAATTCTGTGCCTAGGACAGTGGCTGTGAAGGAAGGGTATCAATACTCAGAATATAGCCTGGACAAGTCTTTGAGAGAAGGAGCTTCCAGTGTGAGAAGGGAAGGCAGCAATCGGAGAGGGAAGCGGGCCCAGCGGGTGGCTGCTGGCTACTCCTTGGAAAGGGATGTGGGAAGCTGTTTAGGAAACTAGAAAGAGCCAGGAACAGTGGAGCACGCTTGCAATTACAGCTTACATGCAAAGCTAAGGCAAAAGTTGAAGGCCAGCCTAGACAACATATCAAGGGCCCATCTCAAAAGAGAGACAGAGAAGAAAGGGCACAGACAACTGATTTGGAATCTCTACATTGAGAAATTGCTTTTCTAATGCAGTGACTTTTTTTTTTTTTTTTGTCTTTTTCTTTTTTATCGGTACCAGGGATTGAACTCACGACCGCCTGCTTGCAAGGCAGGTGCTTATGCTACTGAGCTAAATCCCCAGCCCCGATGCAGTGACTTTTAAGAAAGAAAAAAATTCTCTGTTTGTAAAATGGGTGCTGTATTGTGCTTTCAAGGCCTGACGACCTAAAAAGAGTATGGATTATTAACCTCTCCAGGGAGAAAGGGGGCCCAGGGAGTGCCGCCTGGGTATGGTTCACACCTAAAGGAAAAGTGCCTTGGTCTTTACAGCAAAGACTATGAGATCTCCCCTAAGCTTCATTGTTCCAGTACACTAATAAGTACTTACCACATAAACAGAAAACTCAGGGCTGTCCCTGCTCTGCTAGGAGTGTCAACATATTTTACAGCCCAGAAAATTCCACACAAATCTCCCTTCTCCATTCATACCTCGGAGATACAGGAAGAAGCCAAGCTGCTTGGAATACAACTTTACTATTGGGGTATGTCAAAGTCCTTTCATGTTCTCACAAAAACTGGACCACTGAAAGTAAGATTCACACACTGCCAAGAAAACTGACTTCAGGGAAGTTCCACTGCTGGAACAAGTACGTTTTCACAAGAATTCTTGAAGCTGTAAGAAATCAGACACAGGGTAGGGGATTTAGCTCAGCGGCATAAGCACCTGCCTTGCAAGCAGGCGGTCGTGAGTTCGATCCCCAGTACCGAAAAAAAAAAAAAAGAAAGAAAAAAGAAATCAGACACAGCAGGGCCTTGTGGAACTAAGCACATGCTCCCTAGCAGGCTTCACCTGCACCTCAGGGTCAGATTTTCTCTGAGGCCCTATAACCACCTCGTACCCGCTGTGATATGTATGAGTCGTCCCTCAGTGTCCTGCCCACACCTGCCAAGCCACACTGCTTCTTCCCTCTAAATTGCATACAAATCTAGTCTCTCCCCAACTACACCTCCTGGTCCTTGAGCAGGGAATTGACCCATTTCTGTCTTAGTTTCCCAACACGTACAGTACAGGATGTGGCAGGTACTAGTTAACACACATTCAATGGAGCGTATCTGAATTCACCTGTGCTGTTTTCTTGCCCAGCCTCTAACAGCACTGGGAGAAGTAAACAAGAAGGGCTCCACACCCACCTGGCTGGGCTCCATCTGGTGACCTTGAGCAAGCCGTTCCCTATGAGGACCTCATTACTGCATAGCACGGGAGTCATAAAAGTTGCCACCTGGATCAGGAGAAACAATAAAAACCAATGTATACTTGTCCCTAAAGTACCAAAACCCTTTTAGGGAAGAGGAGAGGGTGTTTACGGTTTCTATAAAAGGAGGACAGTGTATTAGCCAGCTGAGCAGAGCCTCACAAGTAGGACAGGGCTGTACCTCAGAGCCCATCTTTTTACTTTTAATCCACATTTTACTTTAGAACAATTTTAGATTTACAGTAAAATTCCCAGTTGTCACTAAGTGATCTGTATCCCATTTCCTTATTTCTTACTTCTCACATTGGTATGGTGTACAGTCACAGTTAGCAAGCCAGCTCTTGTGATTAACATATTCGCGGAGGTTAGCTATATTCAGATTTTCTTAGGTTTCACCAGGTGTTCTTTTTCTGTTCCAGGACCCTGTCCAGGATGCTGGATTACATTTAGTTATCACGTTTCCTTTCGGCTGTGACCGTTTCTGAGACCTTTCTTGTTCCCGAGGACTGACCGCTTTGGAGAATACTGGTCAGGTATTTGTAGACTACTCCTTAGCTGGGACTGGTCTGACATTTTGCTCATGTTTAGATCAGGATTATTAGATCAGGATTATTTGGAGGAGGAAGACGACAGACGCAAAAGGCATTTTTCTGTCTTTTTGTTTTCTAAAACCCCACGTCAATTCCTCCTGTCCTCCTACTCCATCCCTCCAAAAGTTGTTATATTTACCGTGCCTTTTAGGATAAGGAAGGAAGTCATGATTCTAGGTATGTCCAATGGATAGTCATGCTTACCCAACGGGCTATCACTGGCGGAATCCTCATAAAAAGGAAAATCCCCTGAAAAGCTGACTTGAGACTTGCAGCCTAGAGGTATTCCAGACTCTGCACAGTGACTTGAGATGGAAGGAAAACCCAACCAAGGCAGAGGCCTGCAGAATGGACGACGGAACCAGCTAAGGAGTGCACTGGCAGAAGGTAATCCATATAGATAATGAAGACCAGAATGTTGAATAACAGTGCTATAAGCATAATGACAACCCTGGGCAGAGAACACACCCAGGCCCCACTGAGTGGCTGTGGCTTGAAAAGTTAGGCAGAAAACACAGTCACAGCTATAGAATAAGAGGAACAGGTGATTTCCAAGAGCCTGAGCCCTATTCTGGTTCCTATCACTTTGTCATGTGATGATTTTGGGGTTTTGTTTTTTTTTCTTTTTCCTTTTTATTGGTACCAGAGATCGAACTCACCACTGCCTACTTGCAAGGCAGGCTCTTATGCCGCCGAGCTAAATCCCCAGCCCCTACAATTTTTTTTGGTCATGTGATGATTTTGGATCATTCTACTGTCTGAGCCACAGGATGACTGTTTCTGAACACTGCATATAATGGTACTGGGCTTGCAGAGTTTTGCGGAGATCAAAGGGGATGACACGGGTCAGCGCTCATACTGGTGCCTCAGTCATGTGGAGATCGAGATATTCATTTGCTGTTGTTATCATGTTTAAATTAAGATTGAAGGGGCGCAACCTAGGAGGCCCACTAAATTTAAAAACCTAGGACTCAGAAGGTTTACCAATAAGGTAGGTGGGAAAAAGTTCAGATTTCTCGAGAAAATTCAGGAAACCTCACTTTACAAAATACAGAGTTCCATCTCCCACCCAACTGCTGACCGGAAGAGTCAATCACTGTGCTGAAAGGCAGACGCTAGGAGTTTGCCTTCTGGGGTGCAGCCGAGTTTTAGCTCCCCATGTTTTCTGCCACACGATTTACACTTGCAATCACATTCAGACAGCAGTTCCCAGAGATATGCATGCTGCATCGTCCAACGGCAGGAAACAGACGCAGCCCAATCTGGCCCTCGCTGCGGCGCGAAATGGACTCTGGCTGCGGAGCCACCAGCCAGGCAGCGGCCAACACAAACAAGCTTCACATTCACGGTCATTTCAGAGCTCTGGTAAGGGTGAGAGCAGCTTGGCTCTGTGAAAGGGCTTTGTAATCAGTACTTCTGGTTGAGAAATATTACATGTTCTGTTAAGCTCTCTACCCAAATCTCTAACTCTGAACAAGATGGTGAGGAACAATTGTAGTTCGTTTTCCCTTTATCCACCTTTTGCCTTTATATGCCAAGCGTTGCATTATAGGTGACACAAGTGAAAGCAGGGTAGATTCTCTGAGTTCTCTGGTTCTGCTGGTTATAATTCTAAGCTCCTTCTATGTACCAATGCATTTAATTCTTCTGACAACTCTGAGTCAATTATTGGGCTTATTGTGCTTATTTCAAAAAATGAGTAAACTTAGTTACAAAGAAGTCCAATTAATTATTAAGAAGGCAAATGGCTATCATGTGGCCCTGTCATTTTGGACTGGATTTGGTTTTATGTGGCAGACAGTAATAACATGGGTTAAACAGGTTATAGCGTAATTGTCTCTTGGGTAGAGAAGGTAGGAGGTAGAAAATCAAGAGCTGGAGGTGTGGTTTCACCATCTGAACCTGAAGGTTCCCACCTCTCTCTTCCCTTGTCTTAGTGCGTTATCATCCTCAGGTTCTCCGCAGCTGGCCAAGACTGCAGGTGGTGTGCAAGACATCACAACTGTGCCCTGAGCCCTATCTGACAATTTCCATCAACAGGACCCAGGAGGCTGAAAAATGCATTTCACTTTTTTTCTAAGATGGACACATTTTTCAAGGTTATGTGACCAAGAAGGAAGACCCATGCTACCTAAAATGCAGTGTTTCAGACTGTAACTGTGCTGTCATTGACAGGAAAGAGAAAGCTGCATTACTGTGTTTCTTTCTCACAGTGGTGTTTGGAAAATACACTCAGAGTGAAGTCTACAATTAAACTTGGAACTTTACTGTGATTTCCAGGTTTCCCTTATTCACAGTTCATTTGTAATTGGTGCAATTCTGTTACAGCACAGTATTAAATAGTTGCATAGGTTGTTAACAATCAACGTTAAAAGAAAGAAGTGGTATGTAAGTGAATTAATTTTCCTTATTTCTTTTTTTTTTTTCAGGGTGGGGAGAGGTACTGGGATTGAACTCATGACCTCAGGCTTGCCACTAAACTAAACCCTTGGCTCTGTCTTATTTCTATTCTGAAATTTTGACGTGAAGGTTCTTAACCCTGAGGCATTGTTTTCAGATTTCTCTTTCAGAGTAAATGTCCAACATTTAAGTTTTCATTTATCTTTTAAGGGAGAAAAGGAAAAGAATATTTGAGTGAAATATCTGAAGAGTTGCCATGTGTGGTGGGCAAGCCTGTAAAGCCAGCTTGTGGGAGGCTGAGGCAGAGGATCGCCATGAGCCTGGGCTACATAAGCAAGTTCAAAATCTGCCTGCATTACATAGTGAGACTCTGTTTTTTAAAAAGAATTAAACATTTAAGGAGTTTTTAAAAGAGCTCTCCTGAGCGCTTGTTGCCTAGGCTGATTTCAAACTGGTGAGCTTGTGTGATACTCTCTCCTCAGCTTTCCAAGTAGTTGAAACGATAGATTTATGTCACCATGTCCAGCTTATCTTCTTGAGTTATACTATACAGTAGACCCCAGAAATCTGTGAGGATTCCATTCCAAGAGCAACGGCAAATTTTGAAAAATCACCAGTTTCAGATATGGTCAGAAAAATGCCTATTTTTACAGCTTAAACACTAAATACGCTATGCTCCTACAGTTATGTAATTTAATAAACTACTATACTGAGAAAGCCTTAGAAGGTGCAGGGCATTTTGGTGGCATTTTTGGGATCTAAGGGCTTCAAGGAAAATAAAGCCAAGAACACTGGAGACAGCTACAGACGGTATTGCAAGCTCACGCGGGAACTTCAGAGGATTTGCCAGAGTGATTTCAGGGCAGCAGCCAATCAGCAGCAAGGAGAACTAAAAAACACTCTCGGATTGGCTATTTACAAGCCTCCCTCCAAAAACAAAACAAAACAAAACAAAACAAATCCCTCCAGCAATTGCAGAAGATATTTGTGGTTTCCTAGACAGTGTGGGGCTTTCTCGAACCATTAATAGTAAGGTTCTAAGGAAAAATCCGTGAATGACTGAAGCCTTGGACTCTGAACCACGGGTTTGCGGGCGTTTACTCTACTTGATTTTGGTTAAAACCTTTTTAAATCTCAGTTTTTCCAGTTGTAAAGTAAATCTATTCATAGACTTATTGGTCCCTTTATTGGCTGAATATGTATTTGTACGGGACTTCACAACTGTTTGGTACTTTGTATTTAAATATCATTTTGTTTTATTGTTAAAACAATGGGGTAATGCGTGATGAATGATTAAGACTTCGTTACTTTTACAACTAAATAGTAATTATTTCTTGCTCACTGGGCATGGTGATGCACAGCTGTCATTTCAGCTACCCGGGAAGCTGAGGCAAGAGGAGAGGATCACAAGTTAGAGGCCAGCACCGGCTGTATAGTGAGACCTTTTAAGAAAAACTTATTGTTTATACAGGTAAACTAAACTTGAATTGATACTTCATTGAACAAAGAAACTGAAAACCTTTTGGAACTATGTGAGATACAAATACTTCTATTAAGGGCCAGGGATTTAGCTCGGTAACACAAATGCCTGCTTGGCAAGCACAAGGTCATGAGTTCAATCCCTGGTACCAAAACAAACAAACAAACAAACAAAAAAACCACAAGTATTTCTATTAAGCAATATTATACAGAGAAAAATATATTTTATATTATGAATCTTTACATATTACAAGATAAACGGTATATTTGTAATCCTAGCACTTGGGATGCTGAGGCAGGAGGATCACCACAATTCTAGGCTAACCTGGGCTATTTTGTGAGTTCAAGATGAGCCTGAACTACATAGTGACACTGCTTCAATAAATAAATAAATAAGAAAAAAAGATAAATAGTAACAATTTTCTTTTCTAAGAGTAAACAACATGCTATGAAATGCCTTTCTGAAAAACAAAGTTCTCCCCTAGCGAGCTGATGCAACTCTAAAACAGATATTTGCAGAAAACATCCTTCTCATTTATATTAATGTGCACAACTGCTTTTCTAAGAAAATATTTATAAATATTACTCCTTTGTTTCCAGAAATGTGTCAGGAAAAAAATCATAGAAGAATTACCTACAATGGAAAATGCAATAAAAATGCTTCTTCTGCTAGAATGCAAAACTGTGTATGTTGCAGTAAATGAAAAGATATGACTTAAGAATCAGAGCCCGAGGTTATGCTTGGGTGTTTTGGACTCTTTTCAGCTTGATATGAATTCTAATTCCTTTGTGACACCAGACAAGCCAACGTAATTGAATTCACTTTTCATCTGCAGCATGCAGGGCTCAAGCTCAGCTGGGAGGGGAGGGCGTGGCCCCTGCTGCTACCCCGCCCTGAAGGCAGCTGGGGAAATGATGTAGGCATGGGGGAGGGCTGTGTGTTAAGGTCTGGGTCCTGAAAATACACCGTGTACCCATCAGCTCACACACGCACCATGCGCACACACTCACACACCCCAGAAACCTCCACCGCAAATAGGAATTTCAAAAAAAAAAAAAGCAAGGAAGGGAGGAGGAGGAGGAAGGGGAAAAAAATAAAAAATAAAAATAAAAAAAAAAAAAAGCAAATGAGGTGGAGAGGAGGAAGGGAGGGAGGGTAAGAGGATAAAGAAAAAGAACTAACATGTGTTATGTATAGGTACAAATTCCCTACAGAGAATAAATGTAAACATCATAATTATATACTACAAATATGTACTAATTTTTTTTAAAAAGCAGCAGCAAATGAAGCCCAATGTCTTGGCACATGCTAATTCCAGCACTCAGGAAGCCCAGGCAAGGAGGATCATGAATTTAAGGCCATCTTGGACCACAGGGAGTCTGTGTCTCAACACCAACAACAAAAGCAGCAAATGAAGCTACATACACAAGAAGAAAAGTATCAAGGTCAGTAAGACCCAGCAAGACCTGCTGTGTGGATGAGAGTGAATATCATGGTTATATTTCACAAGGCGGAAAGCCGGTTAATGAACGCACTTCCCAGCATGCCTTCCCTTTGGTGTGCTTGGTGTTACTGAGGAAAAGGATGATTCTTTTCCGATGCACCACTGCTCCTCACCTTGTGGAGGCTGCCCCTGTGCAGTCTGGGACCAGGTGAAACTGAGTGGTCAAAATTTTGTCCTTCCTGCCCCTCAAAGTCAAGGTTATTTTTAGAGACTAATGCTTATAGAATCACTTTCTTAGCACTTTTTTCTACTCTGAATTTCCTCCCAGATACTTCCCTCCTCTAAAGTGGAAGAGCAGTGTTTAAACCCTCCCTAATTGAGTTTAATCAATACATCAGTGGCCTGTCTTGGCATTATTAACATTCTTTATTTCCACTTGGTGGAGAAATGAGCTGTGCCCTTTGTTGGGAACCCCTGGCGTAACAGCGAGGAAATTTTAAAATATGTGTTTATGGTAAAATGGAAAAGTATTCATGCTTCCTCATTTTCCCCAAAGCAAATGAACTCCATGTTCAGTAATCAGTAGCCAAACTTTTACTAAGAAATACTTCTTGATATAACTCACTCACCGCCCCCCAAATGCAGCACTAGACCTGAATCTGAGCGCCTGTAAACTATCCCTCTTTTCTCCTCTCTCCAGGTTCCCTCTAAAGCCCTCAAAACAACCAACCTTTCAAAGCAAATAAAGAACAGCAAGAGGGCCTATAGAGTCAGCTCCTCTACCTTACTCCTGGCACTGGGTCACTTCCTCATCCCTGCGTTGCAGCTCTCAAAGCAACAATGCCAAGATACTTCACAATGAATAAAAGGAAACACTGATGCTCAGGGACAGAAGGAGAAACACCAAGTGGACCTGTGCCCCTGGAAGAGGAGGGAGGTTCTGTTGACACGTTCTTCAGCTCTGAAAAGAGCAAACTTTTGTGGCAGTAACATAACCAGGCCTGATGAGAGCAGCAGATCAAAGAAACTAAAAACGGAGTGCGTGGTTAAATTATTTATGATGATGCTGGCGCTGTATTGATCAGAGGTGGTTTTTGCTCTTAACCCTACCTTCCCTACTCCTACAGAAGCTGTCATCACCTGAAGAAAGGGGCCCAGTGGGAGGGGCAGTGTGAGTGGGCACCGGTCAGGCCCCTCATTAAAAGAAGACTTCATCCAATATAAGTCTACTATATCTAATGACAAGCTGATGATGCCTTTGCATATCATATTTCCTAGGAAAGAAATAGCATATCATTTCACCCTGAACCCCAGGGAAGGAAAGGTTCTGCCCGACCTGCCAAGATCATATTACCACCGCAACAGAAAACTCAGTACGAAATTGGAGTTTCAAAATACAGGACCTATTAAAAAGACGTATTTTTGGAATCTGATTTACATTATTGATTGCTGAATCACCACTGCCAGGCACACAGTAGATAATCAGACATATGTAATGGGCTATTTTAATGGCATCTTGCTGTTCAGACACTGAAGGCCACGTGCTCCGTGGCGAGTCTTAGGCGGTCACTGGCCTCCTAGATAGCCTGGGCTAGCTGTCCTGGGCAACATCTTGCTTGCCAGACCAAAGGCTGGGATGAATGTAGGATATGTGCACACAGTTCAGACTCTGCCACTGGGGAAACCGTAAGACAGGGATTGCTGTTTTGTCCATACGTAAACAATCTCAAGGCATTAACTGTCCTATTTGGACCCAAGAATGTGTGTGATAGACTTGTGAAGAAAAGAAACTTTTAAAAGGTATAGTATCCTTTTCAGCTCAAGGAAAAAAAAGACTCAGAAAGAAAACTTGGTTCAAAAAAGAAAGAAAACTTGGTTCTTAATACTACTGAGGTAACCACTGTGGAGCAGCCAGAGTACTGTTCTGATGTAGAGGAGAAACAGTCCTGGGAGCTGAAGAAATTGGCTCATTTCAAAAGGAAATTCAAGAATTTTCATAAGTAATTGTTTGAAAACTACCTAGGAAAATGGTATTATGATGTATGTCCATTACAGTCAACTTTGGCTAATTACTGCCTTTTTCCTAGAAGTAAGTATTTTAGGAAACTAAAATACTAAAATGTTATAGAAAGACAATAAAAAGTTAGGTATGCCTGTTTTTCTGATGGCATTTATCAAGGAGTATTAAAAATAATCAGATTTCAGCAAAAGCCTAAGATGTTATCATTTTGGATCTTGGATCACGACGAAGAGGAGAGCCCATGCCAAGGCCTCTGTCTTTCTAAATTTCTACGAATGACAGATGTTCTTATTTTTAAATCCATAGCAGTACTAGAAACACAGAAATCAAGACACTGATTGGGCCATTAATTTTTGTAAGGAGTCTCTTAAATATTCAAGGCAGATGGAATACAACTAACAGAGAAAAGCCACCACCTAAAACTGAATGATTCCCAATGTGTTATTAACTCAGAAAGAGCAGATACAAGGGACAGGAAGAGCCCAGGCTGCAGAAAAAGTAACCTGTGTATCTTAAAGAAAAACGCTGAGAAACAATGTATAAGATGGCAAAATGTATCAATAGAATTATTTATCATAACCAAGTAGGATGTATACCTTGAGGCATTTCCAATTGGAAAAAGGCCAATGTGATTTGTTCAATTTCTAGATTGAAAAAATGGAAACCCATCATATAAATAGACATTCCAAAATGACATTTGATAAAATTCAACATATAAATCTAACAAAAAGATTTCTTTCTATATTATGCTTAAGAAAAACTTTCTAGGGGGCAAGGGATTTAGCTCAGGGACACAGTGCCTGCCTAGCAAGTGGGAGATCCTGAATTCGATTTCTGACACCAAAAAGAGGAAAAAAAGAAAGAAAAAAGGAAAATCTTCTGAACTCTGGTAAGTATTAACCAAAAATAATCCTCAGCTACAGATGAATTATTATCAGGTTTCCCTTAAAGTCAGAAATACGACGAAAATGGCTGCTATCACTTCTGTCACCAAACATTATATTGGGAGTTATAGCACATTAAGCCAAGAAGAATGACCTCCACATATTTGATGGCCTTGGTAAATCAGATGAAAATTGGCCCACATATAATTTTCCAATAATAAATGATAACATTTAAATTTTTTCTGGGAAATCAACTAACAAACTATTAGAAACAATAAGATGATCAGAAATAAAAGAAAATCCACAGCCTTCTAATCACTAACAATATTCATGTAAAGACTATGTACTGAAGAAAAAAATTCCAAAAAGTTCATAAGAATCACACTTAACGACTATCCCTGAAGAATACAGATAACCTGAATAAAAATACATGTTATGTTATGGGATGAAAAAATAGCACATTGTAAACATTTCTTTTTCTCTGATAAGCTAATCTGCAAATCCAACAAAAGTCACTTTAAAAATGTCAAGGTCAGTGCCAGGCATGGTAGCACATGCCTGTAATTCCAGAACTTGGAAGGCTAAGGTAGGATTGTGGTTAGTTTCAGGCCAGCCTGAACTACATAGTGAGTTCAAAGATAGTCTTAACTACATAGCAAGACCTTGTGTCCAAAAACAAGCAAACAAAAGTCAAGGTTGTCTAGGAAATTTTCAAGTTAATTCTACAATTCATTCAGAAATTGTGATTGCTTACCTTGATCTGTTTTGCATACTTGTACCTTGTAATCCATGCAACTATTCTGAAGATAACAATATTCAATATAATGACTATTATTAATTTTCTATTAGCTTATCCCTAGTACTGACAAAAAAAACCCTAAAATTTTCTATTAGCTTGTTTTGAAATCCTGTATCATTTCTACTGTCTTGCTTTGTTTTTGTTTTTCTTTTAATCTCCTTAAAATGAAAAATTAATTAAAAAATACCTGAGAGAATTTCTAAAACAAGAGAAATGCTCTAACATATACAAAATGATGTCAAACAACTAGAACAATCCATACAGAAACCAACAAATAGATTGACAAAATACAATAGAAAAATCTAGAGTAAGGACCATTAGATTTTACTGATATTTATTTATTAAATATAAATATAAGCCAGGGATTTAGCTCAGCAGCATAAGCGCCTGCCTTGCAAGCGCATGGTCATGAGTTCGATCCCTGGCATGAAAGTATCTGTTGATAGATAGATAGATAGATAGATAGATAGATAGATAGATAGATAGAGAGAGAGAGATGGAGGTGATGTTTCACATCAGGGCTGAAAGGGTGGACCACAAAGAGTGATAAGAAAAAATCTCTGTACATCAAAACATCAATGTTTTTTTTAAAAATGTGAATGTCTTAGTTACTTTCTCATTGCTCTGACAAAATATCTGACACTCGAAATTGAAGGAGGCCAGGTTTGTTTGGCTCAAGGTTCAGTCAGCTGGCTGCAAGGCAGACATGGCCTGGAAGAAGGGTATAGTGGAAGAAAACTTGCTCACACTACAGCAACCAGGAGCACTGGACAAGAATACACCACTCCCGGCCATGGTCCTTCGTGAGCCACCTCCAACCAGGCCCCGCCTGCTAACAGCTACTCATAAAGTGATCACCTTCCAAAAGCCTCACCTCTGAACCCCTGATCTAACCCACAACAGAAAAAGACTGGGAGAAAATGTTTGCAACATATATGACACAGGACACAGGTAAGAAGAAAAAACAGCCTGTAAATCAAGAAAAACATACACAAGTAGAAAAATGGGCAAAGGATATAAACAATTTATAAGTAAGACAAAATAAACACCAATAAAAATGTATAAATTTTTTTTTGTCTTTTTCCTTTTTATCGGTACCGGGGATCAAACTCACGACTGCCTGCTTTAAAGGCAGGCGCTTATGCCGCTGAGCTAAATCCCCAGCCCCAACACCAATAAAAATGAACACCGACAGTAGCAATAAGGAAAAACTAAAGAAACCTCATCATTTGTCAGAATATTGAAACTTGATATTACATGTTCTTTTGCAAGAGTGTAGGAAATATGTATGTTCAAGAACTTTTGGTTCTGGAGATTGAAGCCGCTATTTTGAAGGGCAAGTTGGCAGCACTGATTGCAGTGTTGGAAGATCCAGTAATTCTACTTTTCAGTAGCTATTCAGAGACACACCCTCCAAAGAGACCTGTGTCAGTATGTTAACTGTAGCAGTGTTTATAATGGTAAAAATGGAAATGTTTTCAACACTCAGCTATGTTGTGACATATGTCAGAACTTCATTATATTTTATGGGTAAATAAGAGTCCACTATAGGTGTCTACCTACTACATTTTGTTTATCCATTCATCTGTTAACAGGCTCTGGTATTTCCAGTTTTTGGTTACTGTACCATGAAACTGTAATATATACCAGTATAAAAGTAACTGTTTAGTCTCTTGTTTTTTTAGTTTTGGCTGTATACCTAGGAGCAGAATTGCTAAGCAATATACTAATTCTATTATGCTTAACTTTTTTGAGAAAATACTGTTTCCTATAGTGGCTGTGAATGTGGGTTCCAGCCTCCCTCATGGTCACCAGTGCTTGCCCTTCACCTCATTTTTGATTAGAGCCTCTTAGTAGTTAAAAAGCTGTATGTCAAGTAGTTTTGATTTACATTTTCCTAATAACTAATGATGCTGAACACCTTCTCAGGTGCTTACCTGGGTGCCCATTTTTGTAGTAAGTGTTTGTTGGAGCATGGCCGCACTGAGTTCCTTACCTATTTTCAGTGGCCTTTTATTCTATAACCGCAGAGTTGAGCAGCGACACCAGCCTAGCATATCTCAAGTTTAAAAATTTTGTCCAAATCCTATGCTAGACCATAAAGGCCCTCAGTTATTTAAAACCACTGAAATCATTCAATGTTAAACATAGAGCCAGGCGTGGTGGCTCATGCCTGTAATCCCAGCACTTGGGAGGCTGAGGCAAGAGGATCGTTGTGAGTTCTAGACCAGCCTGGGCTACAAAGTGAGCTCAAGGCCAGCCTGAACTGCATAAAGAGACCCTGTCTCAGAGAAAAAAAAAAAAAAAAGAAAAGAAAACATAATAAAATACATAGAAATAAAGATAGTACAATGGTTGAACAGTAAAAGCTATAGAATATTGCAATAAAAACATTAAAGAAAATTTCAATACATTGATTAGATATTACAATATTTTAAAACTTGATTATGAGATGGCTGACCAGCTCTATAGTTTCATTAAAACCACAAAATTGTACTTCTGCAATCTATGTGGCTCTTGAGGTTCCTTGGGTGAAGGACCAAGAGAGGATGAGAACATAAAGAAGAAACCAAGCCAGTGTCATGTGGAGCCCTCACCCTCCTAATGGAAAGAAGGAGGGCTGGTCCTCACTGTGGAGGATATTTATTTCTACTTTTTAGCAACTTAATGCCACATGACACCCTGTTGTCCTAGCAACCCACTGTTCAGATTGTCTTGGGGCTAGGTGTTCTCTGGGCTGAAGCAGCTTCTTTATCTGACTGCCCCAGGCGCTCTTTGTTCTTGGGATGGTCATGCTCCAGCCTTGGGAGTGTGGTCAGTTGCCAGCTTCAATGGCTTCCAACACTGTACACTTAAAATTGGTGAATTTTATGGGATATAACTTGTACCTCAGTGAAGCTATTAAAGTATAAAGAAGAGATTCTTTCAAATGATTTTTTTGGATACAAATACAGGTATTTGAATATATTGTGTCAGCCAAATTTTATGTTGGTACTTTTGAAATAAAAATGAAGGGTTTATGAAAACAGATCTTTCAGATTCTTTACTTCACTCTCTTTTAAAAATTAACATTGATTAAAGATTTTTAACTTTTAACAATTATTTTTAACAGTTGTTTTTGTGTTTATCACTTTAAAAACTTGGACTGTGCACTTCGTTAGTGTTATTTGCTAAAACTAGTATATCCTGTGTAGTTTACCATTTTAAAAAGAAAAATGGTGTTATGGATCAAAACGAAGTCAATCTGTATATCTCCATAGGTTATAATTATTTCAGTAGTTGGTATGGGAAGAAACCATTATACTGAAGAATTTTCTCCATCTGATGGAATTTGGCAAGTAGCAGATTTTCCACAGCACGGAACTCTTGAATATTGTTGGTCTAGTCAGTGGGAAAAATTCACACATCACATAATCACTCCATGTAATGTCTTCTTGTTAGGTTGGGAAGCTCCCTGTGAAGCAACATCTGTCATATTAATCCAGTTATTTTTAAAATATGAAATTAACTTTTGGGAAATAAGTTTGATATAAATCTGTATGATTTTCACTTTGTTTTGTTCTTAGAAGAAAAATGATGCAACTTTTATTTGGGACCTACCGCCAGTCTGACCCTGTGTCTTTGAAATCCATGCTGAGAATTCTGTGTGCCTGTGATCTTTGAAAGGTCTGATGCTCCATGGCATTCGTCAAACGCTGATAACCAGAGATGAAGAGATGAGCCAATGGGCTGGGGGATATAGCTGAATGCAAATTCCCTGGGTTTGATCTCTCGGACTGGAAAACAAAACAAGCAGTAAATATCACCAGGCTTCTAAGTAAATGCTCAAGCTACAAACTCATCCCCTCACTTCTGATTATGACATGGACAGTGTCACAGACCATTCTCGGAAACTACTAATTCCAAAATTTCTTACCCCCAGTTTCTTGGGTAGCAATCCAGGCAATTGATAAGGAGACTCTGTTCCTAGGAGCAAGTGATCAGGTGGACAATCCTTTGTTTGTTATTACTATTACCATTATGAAACAATTTATTTGTAAATTTTAAACTTTTACTATTTAAAAAATGGATTGTGCATTCTAATTAGCAACACGGTAAAAAAGTCCTAACACAAAACGCTAAAGAACGTGAACAGAGACTTGATAAAGGAGGAAATATGCGCTAAAGCATATATGAAAAAATTGTAATGAAAGAAACTGAATTTTGGGGGCTGGGGATTTAGCTCAGTGGCATAAGCGCCTGCCTTGCAAGCAGGCAGTCTTGAGTTCGATCCCCGGTACCGATAAAAAGGAAAAAGACTGAAAAAAAAGAAAGAAAGAAAGAAAGAAACTAAATTTCTAACGCGAATAATTTAATGTAATGTAACACAAATACACATAACCCATCATGTTTAGTCATCAAAATAATGCACCCTGCTGATGAAGGTGTTGGAAATAAGCACTTTGGAACAGCAATTGTTTGACGGCAGTAAGTTTGTATCAACAGCAATAGGACAGCAAAGTGGCCCACAGGGCACTTCAGCCCTTTTGTAATAGTAACTTCTTCGGGAGGCCAGTCACAAAGAGCGCTGCCAGACAACAACAGATCCTCAGATCAGAGATCTTGGCAGTAACAGCAGGAAGAGTTTAGCGATCACCTAGTCAAATCATTTGTTTTACCGAAGAGAAAACGGAAACTCAGAAAGTTAAACAGACTCAACCCAAGGTGTAGCAGAAACCAAGTTTCCTACTCAGTATCTGCCTCCCATTCCTCCTCACCAACAAATCCTCTAATTTTGTCCAAAGTGGCAGTATTCTCAGGGTAAAACCTTGCCGGACTTCCTCACAGCAAGAGGTGGACACACGATCCAGTTCTCAGGAGTTATAAACGAAGGTCATTGGATGGGGTTGCCAGGAAAGGTTTTTTTTTTAAAGGACAATGGCTTGGGTTGTGCTCCCTTTTGTCCTCCCCTCCGTCCTACTGCTTGTAATTCAGACTCGCCAGAATTCATTCTGGGTGGGAAAAACTTTTGGGGCAATATCCTTCACCAGCAGTACTGATAATATTGGAAGGCAATCCATTCGTGGATACTCTGGACCCTAAGGACAGGAAGTGTCTAAGCTCTATGTCCAAGAAGCATTGCTACCTTGACTTACCTCCTACACAGCCCTGTTTAAGAAAACCCAGCTTACTAACTGTTGCTGCTTGCTCTAGGAGAGTGTCAGCTCACAGAAGGCAAAAGCCCTGAAGAGACAGCGAAGGTCTGGTGGAAGGACTGTTCAGAAGGCGATTTAGGAGGAGGCATGCAGAGAAAAAAGCATTTTAAATGTGCCTATGTGTCTGGGGTACTGGGCAAGAGAAGAAAAATTAGAAAACCACTCAAAGGAGAGGGGAACAAAAAGAAAACTCCCTGTGGCTCACTGAGCCTGGGAGATCCCTAGGTGTGTGTGGAATAGGCCACTTGCACGCTGCACACTCCCCCAGTTCAAATCCTGCAGTCCCCCTAAGAAAAGAGGTTTCACTCCTGTAGTCAGTCTTGCTCAAGTCTAATCTAATTCCCTTTGGCATTTTTTTGTTTCCAATTAAAACGCAAGTCTTTAACGCTTTTCTCCTTTTCAAGGGAGAGGAGACTGCCCAGAGCAGCGTGGAAGACGAGGACCCAGTGGGGCCTTTCTGGCGGGAGCCAGGACTGGCAGGTGTGGCCAAGAGCTCATTGGGGCCGCAGCCCTGGGAAAGCTACAGAAACAGAATTAGAAAATGCGAGAAGCTGGGGCTGGGGATTTAGCTCAGCAGCATAAGCACCTGCCTTGCAAGCAGGCAGTTGTGAGTTCGATCCCTGGTACCGATAAAAAGGAAAAAGACAAAAAAAAAAAAAAAAAAAAAAAGAAAGAAAATGCGAGAAGAAGCTGCAGTTTCCCTCAATCAAGGAAATCAGCTACGCGAGCGCGTGTAACCGAAGGAAGAGCGTCTAGGAAACTTGCTGGCACGAACGCCTTTTGCTGTTCTTTAAGGGAAAGTCGAGCATCCAGAGGACACTCAGATGCTATCGACCTTACATACGCGGGCGTGTAAAATACAACCTCCTATTTGTTCTCCTCTCCGCAGCCCGGGCCGGCCTTTGTTACCGATTGGGTTTCAGGGAGGCCGAGTGCCGAGCGGCGTCGCCCTTCCCGCCCCAGCTCCTTTGTTGCGGGGCTGCGCGGTCCCCGCCCCGCACCTCGGGCGCCCGCTGCTCCGCGCGTCCCGGCCGTGGCCGCCGCTTTGTGCGCCGGGGCTCCGCGGGGGCCACGGGGCGGAGCTCTGCGCCCCGCTCGGCGCCGTGGTCACAGCCGCCCGGCCGGACCGGACCGGACCGGACCGCCGTCCCCGGAGCCGGCATCCGGGCGAGGCTGCCCGCGCCCGCGCCCTCCGGCACCGCGTCCCGCGCGGCGCTCGCCAACTCCGGCCGCAGAGAGAGGAGCGCGGGGCGCGAGCTCCACGCGCCGTCTCGGCCGGCCGTGACGCGTCCCGAGCATGTCGGAGTCGGGGGACAGAAGCGAGTTCGGCTACATCATGGACCTGCTGGCCAAGGGCAAGGTGGGTGCTCGGGCCGTCCGGGCGCGGACTGCGGGGACCCGGCCCAGTGCCCGGCCCAGCGGCTGCGGGTCGCGCAGCGCCGCCTTTCTTTAGCGCGCGGCGTCTCCGGAGCGCGTCGTGGGCGCTTTCGCGGGTCCCGCTGCGGTCGGGGTGCGCCCGGTCCCGCGCTCCTAGGGCTGCCCGGCGTGGGGACCTCGAGGGACTTCCCGGGGCGGGAGGGGCGGGGTGGGGTGCAGGAGCCGGCGCCCCAAGCTGGTCCCAAGTTCAGGTCCTTACCCACGGCGCGGACTCGGACGCGTGGGGCAGCCTTCTTTTGGCGGGGATGGGGCAGGGAGGTGCTAGAGGAGACCTGTCAGCCGGCGCCTGTCCCTGCCTTCGGGTGGTCTTCGTTGCTGGGCCGGGCTGAGGCGCTGCACGGGAGAAGATGCGCGGAGAGGTTTCAGCGTGGTTTGCAAGCAGGACTTGTCCGAAATGCTGGGCTGGGGCAGCGTGGGATGTAAAGAGCATATGCGTTTGCCTTCTGCTTCTGTGTCTTCAAAAACGAGAAC